GTCCATATACCATCAGCAACATCCTTCTGTGAGAGAGAACAAGACCAACTTCCATCTGAAGAGGAAATTAGGAAAAGACATTGGAGGAGGTTAGGACACACATTGGGGAATTAATCAAACTGCATCACGAGGCAAGCGTTAACTTGGTAACGTGAAGGGGAACGGGAAAATGGAAGGCCAAAGGACCTATTCTGTCGAAGGTTGGCAGCAGACATGAAAAGGATCGATAGCGACTGGAAAGGATTTATCGGGACAGAGTTGGCTGTAAAATGCTGGTGAGCGGCCTATGCTCCTATATGAGGGGTAACAGACGTAGGTAATTCCGGGAACTATTTACACACTGTTATTATGTATTTATTCTTATTGTATAAATGATAAGTAACTATATTATATATATTTATATTCTATTTGTCATAAGCTTTCAATGTACCTATTGTTCATTATTATACGACTTACTATTCTTAAGTTATTCCCAATTTATTAGTTACCGTCTCTCACGCTCACAGCCATTTTTGGTTTGATCTTGTATGATTGTTATTTTTTATTTTATGGTAATGATGAGGTCTGGTTTGCTTGTATATAATCTACGTATGTCTGAAATATACGATTTATTGTGTGGAGTCTGAGATTGAATTTTGGAGTCAACGGGCAGGGCTTTGTGAGAAGAACCAATAAGAATTCAGAATTGACTCAAGGCTGCTAGTGCTGGTTGACATATCATTAGTTTAGCACAAGAACAAGGTCATGCAAATCGGTGTGTGATAATTGACGGGCAAAAGTCAACTGTTAGACAGAATTAATGATTGAATTAATACACTCGTTGCTACGCTTTACATTAACCTAATGTAAGATAAACAACAAATCAATGTAAATGACATCAATAATAGTGAGAAATTAAATAAAAAGTCTAAGAAAAAACAAGTGAAGTAAAAAGATATGAAAGATGGAGGAAATTGTAATAATAAATTTTTAAGAGAACATTAATACGTTTTAATCAACGTGAATTGGGCATATTGCCTACTACACTGAACATCAACTTCAGTTACTTCTAGTTCTAAACTAACGTATGAACACAGTAATCACATCTCAGATAAACTTCATCTAGTTTTATATATCGAGCGATAATCACCAAAATTTAGTTTTACCTTCATAACAAATAACACCATGCAATTAAGTTATTAATTTATGGAGAAGATTCATTATACTGAATGATAACACTTCATGAACAGAGTAAACTTAGTAGCTAAGTTTGCTATCCCATTGGTTAAAGTGGGAAATGAGGCCTGATAATCGGTTAAAAATCGACTTTATTATGTAAGGATTGTACTTGACTATGGCTCTTTTTTCCAATAGGACCTATCTCAAAAGAAATCCCGTTACAGTTCAAATTAATTGAAAGCGATGTTATTTTTGTCAAACCCACGGAATAATAAGGTTCGAGAATGTCGGTTTCAGCAGATCCGCTTAAATTGATTATTTAGCATCAGCAAAAAGAATTTCAAGCATCACAAATGCATAAAAGTTCTTAATTCAAGAAAATTCAGTACAGGTGTCCGAATTTAGGGGCTCAAATACTGAATATCTGATTGATTTAATCAGCGAGAATTTACTCAGGCCAATCTCCTAGTAGTATTATGAATATACTCGAGATAATTCAAAAAACAGAACACCAGTTTAGGGATAATGTAACTGGTAAAATCCGCAAGCAACGCAGAAAACCAAGGACACAAGGAAATGAGAGAGTGTGTAGCGTGCAGAGCGGAACAAACCAGAGAAGGCATGTTAGCCAACTCCATTCAATTAATCGTTATTCAATATTTATAGTCAGAACAAAAATAAGCTACAGACATGTAATGAGTAGGATGAGGAATGCATGCACATACATACATAAAAATGTCAAGGTTAACAAGCGAATAATTAGCAAGGTCAAAATGTCACTCAAGAAGAATGAATAAATTGGCCTATCTGAAAGTTAGAATGAGCTATGTGGGTTTGACATAGTACCCAATACTACAGTATCACTTTGATCTTGATGCAGGTTCAACATATGAATCATGGTTCGAGCGATCTGAAGACATTTTCCAAGTTGATTTTCCTTATCATAATGATTCTTCAAAGATGAGAATTCTAATTCGGAAACTTATGTCAGCTGAACATAAAAAGTGTTCAAATCTTTTATTGCCAAAAAACTCGAAGATTTTTCCTTTAATAGTGCGTTACAAGAATTAAAAGAAATTTTCACTACTCAGACTCCTTTATTAAGCTTGAGATAAAATTGTCTTAGAATTGTTAAGAGACCTGAAGATGTTTCCGATACTGCATATTTATCAAAAAACAATACATGAATTTTAATTTGCGTTCAATTTCAGATGAAGAATTTAAATATCATTGTATGCAGATTGCAATCATCGTCAGACTCAGATATTCACACTAAAATTTTAAGAAGAATAGAATCAGATCCCAACCTTAAGCTGAAAGATATTACAAATGAATGTCGTATTATTAATCTTAAAAATGTTAGTATATGATCGAATGTCCAAATCCCATTCATACATCTGGCGTTAATCCTAATTCATTTGATTTGATGAAAATTTCTCATTTAGAGTGCATTATTAATGTCACAAAGCACGACTCGCGAAAATTTCCTCACCCAAACTGAATTTCCAGAACTCTAATCCACGTCACTTTCTAAGACCTCCCAATAGTTTCTGGAACTGTGGGGCATGACATTTCTCCCATTTCTGTCTATCTAATTACCACAAACGCTAAAAATGCGGAGTAACTGGCCATATGAGGAGATTTTGCAAATGCACCAAACCTCCATCTCATTATCAAATGTCGAGGATAATCACTTGTGCGTATCTTTTTCCAAAATCTAACCTTAAACGCTTACGCAATTACATATCCATTTATGTTAATGATCGTATTATCACTCTACAGTTGAACACTGCATCCAATGTTACCTTGATTTCTCACAAAACTAGGCACAAGCGTGGTCGGCCAAGCATTCTTCCTACTACTGATTGCATAAAGAATGTGTCGGGCATCATAATTAAAATTCCTGGAATTATCAAATATATTGTCAAATTTAATGATCAAATCCAAATTTTATGCCACTGATAAATCCTTCAATCTATTGGGTCTTGACTGCACCACAGAAATAAAAATGTTGGATTACCCATTTAATCTTATTTGCAATCCAGATTTAGAAATGTTCAACCAATCACCTAATCTTATTTTTAACAAAGTATCTTCTTATTCTCATTTGATGCACAAATGGAAGCAGAGGTTTTCGAGTAATTTTCAAAGTGATCATAAGGGGAGGCCACAAAGGAGAAAATCACCCCGAATCCAGCCCCACCCAACAGTGTCTCCTCTGCCGAGTCAATGTTCGGAGGGGAGATTCAGAGTTCATTTGATAGCATGTATCCAAAAATAAGAAAACGAGATTACAAACTCAAGACGAGGAGAGTGAAACGTCAGTTTCTTAATAGGTTACTTGTGTATATAAGAAACTTCCAACAATGTGGGCCTGAGTGGGTAGTGGGTGTTATCGTAAGAAGGGTCGGTGACGTGATGTACAAAACTGATGTTCGAAGTAAATGCCTGATGCGGCATACAAACCGAATCTGCGACAGACTACTGAATTCGGATAAAGAACCTCTTAGCTGGAACTTGTCACGAGATTACTTAATTGATACAGTCAGTCTGAAGCGACAAGATCAGTGCAGAAGAAGTGATGACCAGACTCCAAGAAGACAACTTTTCCCTCAATGCCTTCAGTTAGAGCCAAGGAGCAAGATTTATTTTTGGGAGTGAAAGGTGATATGGTAATCCAGTGAGAAGGCGATGTGTGGACAAGGACGTCAATGATTGGTATTTTGTTTAGTCAGACTTGTAGATAGTCTGACAGGCGTTAGATGAGTTATATATTCTCCTATCCTTATTATTATTATTGATCGTGATTAGATTGTGTCGTCTTGTTGTCGGTATTATGGTGTGGAAATATATTCACGTTCTAGTCAGGCTAATCACATATTCTTAATCTGAGTTGTGTTGAAACCCTGTGGAATAGATACAAGAAGGGAATCCAGTGTATATATTCGTCTAGGGCAAATTAACGTCCCATCCGTGTAGACGAAGAATATATATATGCCCGTTACAACAACTAGCATTCAATTTGAATAAAAACTTATTTTGAGTAATATTAGTCCATTTGAAAAAAATAAATGATCTGTCAAAAATCATACTATTTCACATAAAAAATATCTAATGATATGGGTTATTTTCCACTGAAATTATATATTTCTTATATTATCTATCTGAAACAATTTCATAAGCTTAATTATTACATTAGCATGTAGTAATAAACAATAATGTCACTACTCCAAACCTATCATAATCACTTTCAGTATTCGACGAACTTACAATACCTAACGTAAGTGAAACCTAAAAGTTACGGTAAGTAACTATTTGAATTATAAAGGAACAAATCTTAGGGAAAATGTTGCTTACTAATTTGGGTTTGCTTAAAATTTATGGACCAAACTATAAAATACCTTGTTTTAACTACTTATCTTCTTTACATTATGCAAACAATGATATATCTAGAACAGATTTCTGTATAAAATAATTCAAATATTGTACATACATGGTTCACTAGTTTCATATTTAATATAGTCCATTCACATTTCTCATAGTCATCCTCAGTTTTCACACAGTGGTTCGTATACAGTTAAAGAATAAGTAGGAAATAACAGGGATTACTACTTTACTATGAATTCAATGGTTACTAAAAATTATTTAATATGATTGCTGTTTGTCCTCTATTAATTTAATTTGTTATGAGAGTGTAGTGAGTATCTTTTCTGTTTTCAAAAGCGATTTCACAGTTTCCGAGACCAAGTTAATCAAACTTAATGAAAACATAACACTTTTCAAACTAATTCGATGTTTATTAATAAAACCTATAACTAATAACTAGTAAATACGGCACTGACCTTGAGATTCAACACTACCATTTCCACAAGCATCAGAATGCCATTGAAACGCTTTTTGTAAATCACGAATTTCTGGTCCTGAGTATAAATAGCCAACTGCCGTTTGAGCTGAAATGCAAGCTTTAGAATCACCATTGTTCGCAGCAAATAAAAAGCACCTAAATTCATTTGAGAATAAAGTTTTTGAGACCATTTAGCCAATGTGTTCGCAATACTGGTAAGGAATATTAGTCTACAAATAGAGGTACTATCTTTTACGTAATAGAAAAAATTTTAATAAATCAAAAGTTCAAGAACTGATAAGACGTTTGGTAAAAATGAAAAATCGAGAAGTATGAACACTTGCAAGAGAACGTGTTGGAAACAGATATTCGGTAACCTTGTAACAGATAACTGAACCCACACCAATAAACAAATGTTTATTGAAATACCAGGTTTTATTAATCTGTATGATCAAACAAAATGGACACCGACGAGAAAACCTAGTACTTGGTCACTAGTTACTTCTAATTATTCCTTGTATCTAGTAAAACTAGGTAGTGAATACCATCAAAAATCTAAGATTTCAAGGAAAATAAATACCTGTTTAATTATTTTCAAATTTGTGTAGACTGATAAGGCTCAAATAAATAACGTGGATATTATACATTCATTTAATTTCCTCTCATCGTGCTAGTATGGTATGGCAACTTGGGACAATTAGGATCTGCCTAGGGTTGTACGCAAAGTGACTATACACTCGATTTTTAATGACTGAAACGTTATTTATAACCTTTAGATATATCTAAGTAAAATCGATAACTTACTATTTTATAAGTCAACTATAACAAGATTTTAATGGTTAGATTTACCATTGATTAAATTCTATCCAGTGATTTAGAATTTATTATTTATCTGGATATCGTAGTTGAAGCTCCAATGTAAACCATAAGCCAACATATTAATATTAATTATTATTATCAGTAACAACTATTAAGTTGATAGATGTACAAACTTTTCTAAATATAAGTACATTCTTTACAGTAGTATTTGTACTAATCTAAAAATTCACAAACTAAAAGTCCAACGGAAATCTGATATTCGATCTATCGGATACTAAAATAAACCTTTTCTTCCAAACCAAACGATTATTGTACATCCATTTAACTTGAGATTGCCTAGTATTTTATTCCAAAAAAAAATTAGGAAGATGCCTATGACTGAAAAAACAACTTTGCTCAATACCGAGTTGATTTTGAGCAGAAATCGACAAATCAATAGTCAAATTACAAAACTTTTAGGTTAGCATGTCACTTCATTATTGGCCTTTTCTGGTTGCTGAATAAGTTATTCATAAAAAGATAGAGTTGCTTCATTTTTGATCAGATCATGAGCAAACAATATGATTTATCGTTTATTTGTCTTCAAAAATTTGTAACCGTTGAGTGTTTAATTTAAATAATAATTATCTAAAAATAAAAGTTTTATTTGAAAAATCCCCTTCTGAGTTATTGGTTTTAGTCAACTGGCTATTTTGATTTCTTTGCAATATGAACTGATACCAGTTGACGATATTAAAAACGGTATGTTGTTTTATTTTGGGAAAGGTTAATTACAAAATATTATCACTAAAAACTAGTAACAGAAGCCATATGCATTGCACAACATTGATGAACCTACTGTTAAAATTCTTATCCGATCTAGGGTTTTCTTCCAACAGTAAAAATATCTGATTTGATTAAAAGTTTATCATGTGAGTGGTAAGTAGAAACGTTTTTTGTGTAGAGAGTGGAAAACCATATGGTATTGAGTGGAAAAATTGTTGTCAGAAAAAGAGGACTTAGGTTCATGTTAATTTTAATTGCTGTGCCGTAAATATTTCTCACGGAGAGTTCAAAGGTAATAAATACTGACCACTTTAATGCCAGTTAAAGCGTTAAAGTTAAAATCCGAATTACCGTAAATGATAACTTAAAAAGGAATGAATTCATAGTCTATGGTATTATATCATTTACTTAATTTAAATAAAAATAGTGTAGCATGCCAGATTCATACATTTTTAACAAACAGTAAGATTTTTTAAGAACAAAACTAAATGTTCAACGACTTAATTTTCTGATGCTTTTTATGATCACCCTCGTTTCATGATTTTCACTGTTAAATTTTTCAGCACGATTATCTTTCATTTTCTTGTAGCATAGGTTCAAGGTACCAAGATATAAATGACGGCGATCAAAAGTGTTTATCACAACAAGTTTATTGAGTATGTTCCTTGAAGAAATAAATATCATGGGTGAGAAAGAGTGCTTTCAGGAATGATACATACCAATTTATCATTTATTCACAAACAAAGTAGTATAAAACACTAATCTATATCACTCCCAGCTAACTTAATAAAAATTGTTATGGGAAAAAAGTTGAACACAAAATTTTACAAGGTTCGGGATATAAAATAATGGTAAAATCTTTATATATCAGAATTACTTCGAAAAAAATAATAAAATCAATTGTAGGGAAGTATAAATCAATAATATTATACGAGAATTGGAGATTGATAAGGAATTGATTCACTTATACCATAGAAACCATTGTCGAACCATGTCATCCAAAGTCTCCAAGTCTGGTTTACTTCTTTTTAAACTTTTCCTAACAAGCAGGGTTGCACACCCCAGCATGGCTCAATTTAACCACTGATAACTTCATAAACTTTGGTGGTTGGTACATCTGTTACACATTTCTAACCACCGACTACCTCGACGTGCGACATGCAATAGTGTTGGAGTGGGCCATAAGAAATCTAAGGACGGTCAAGTCAAAACATGAAGTCAGTTCATAAAATCATTAACTGATATTCGGAGCCGTTTTGTTAGGTATTTACTAGGAGAAGAGGAAAACACTACTAGGAGAGACTGGAAAAGAACTAGGGGAGCAATAACTTTAACATGTCAGGTGATCCTGGACTCCAAGAACCATCAGAATAGAAAATGGATCTCTTTAGACAGCCTGAAAAAAATTCAATGAAGAAATAACTAGTGGGTAACAATCATCATCAGCAGTCGAACAAAAGCATAGAAACCCAAGGCACATATTAAGTATACAGAAACAAACAAATGGGCAAAGAAAGGAGCTGGAGATTATAAACGAAAACATGTAGAAGACCTGGAAAAAAAGTAGAACAAAATCCAAGAGAAGAAAATGTAAGAGCTATACGAAACAACCAAGAAGCTTGTAAGAAAATATAATAAACCAGACAGACCGATCAGGAGAAATGAGGGAAATCCCATCACCGAGTTTCACGAGCAGCAGAATAGGTGGATAGAACACTACGGAGAACCCTTGAGTAGACCAATCTCACTGAATCCACCGGACGTCAAAGCAGCACATACTGACCTCCGCGGAGGTGATACCCCACTAACAAAAGAAAAATTAATAAGGGATCAGATAAGTCAAGAGTATCAAAGGTGCTGGACGAGGAGGTGAACCAGCCAAGGCACTGAAGTCAAACCTAGGGGTGACTCCACAAATATTCAATGTTCGCTTCAGAAATATTTAATAAGAATAAATTCTGACAGATTGAAAATAGGAACACCTTACCAAGATACCGAAAAAAGATCTTAGTAAGCATGAGAATTACAGAGGCATCACATATTTGTCAATACTAGGCAAAGTTTTCAGTAGATTGTTGGTCAACGGAATGAAAGATTCAGTACACACTCAAATTTCAGATCAACAACCTGGCTTTTGTAAGAATCTACCAGGTACAGACCAAATCACAACTCTGCCAATCATTGTTGAACAGTCAACCGAATGACACTCATCACTACATATCGACCTCGTTGGTTATCAGGAAGCATTTGACAGCGTGCACGGTAAAATCTTGTAATGTCTTTTCGAATACTGTAGAGTATCTGAGAAGTTGGTCACAATCATACGAAACTCTATCAAGGGGCTGAATCCATGCTCAGAGGGGACCTCATAGACGCATTCCGAGTGAGGACTGGTACCGGACGAGACTACCTACTCTCTCACTTCCTCCTTGTTCTGACAACTGACTAGATAATGTAGATCTCCACGTTACAGGCGAACCACAGAATACAGTGAATATCATGGACACAGATGAACGATTTGAAATTTGCAGATAACAGCCTTGCTATCCCATCCACAACAGCAAACATAGAGGAAAAAAGCCAGTCTAGAAGCAGTTTCTACGGCAATAAGCATCAACATTCACGAGATAAAAAGCTATATTTTGAAATACAATACACTGAACACCATCTAGATTACACCTGATGGTGAAGCTCCAGAAGAGTTATGAGCCTTTATACACTACAACAGCACCGCTGACAGACAAAAAGAATCTGATGTAGGTGTGAAAGTACTAAATGGCAATGCAAGAACAACATTCCTACAGTTAAAACGTTTATAGAATTTGAGAGAACTTTCACTGAACGCCAAAGTCAAAATTTTCAACACTAACTTTAAAAACATCCTACTGTAAGAAAATGGAATGTAGAGAACTTCCATCACCACCAAAAATGTACAGGTATTTTTCAAAAACTGTCTACGTAATAGACACAGAATTCAGTACTCACGTATTATGACGAATAATCTATTTTAGTACAAAACGAACCAGCCGTCAAGTGAGGAAAAAATTAGGAAAGTATTCTGAATGTGGATTGGACATACTACAGAAACCATCCAACTGAACCACAATACGAGCTCTAACTTGGAATACTCAAGGGAAAAGACAAAGAAACAGACAAAAAAACATGGTTCTTGGAATCGAAAACATACATCAAGTTCGGAAGAAAAATCAACTCTAGAAGCAGCGTGTTAATACGCGATGGACCTAGAAACGGTCACCGGTAATCTGTCAACGGTAAATCTCCAACACGTGTTTAGGAACGAAATGACTTGGAAGAGATGATAAGAGATTACTTGAAAGTAACTGCCCATTGCAATCCATCGCCTGATAGTCAATGCATTCATTGCGCCAGATACAAATAAAGAATATATATATAAATCATTTTTTTACTTAGATCTACATTCCTTTGATAACACCCATTAGACACACCTCAAAGCATCTTCCGTAGATGGACATACTCCGTAGCCTTGATAATATGCTCTTCCAAGATTAAAAGCTGCACTAAAAACCAAGTTTCTTTCGTCGACGGGTAAAGCTAATTGGACGTTCAAGGTCATAATCTCCTTAAAAAATTCACAAGCTTTAGCCTGATGGAGTAACTATGAACATGAAAACTACTTGTGGGTTTGAAACTTTTGTCACGTCTTTACTGACTAGATTGTCATATAACATAATACCGAGTTGGAACTTCGATTTATGATCATTAAACTTTTCATAACCCATTCGGAAATAAGTCCACGCTTCGTTATATTCCCCCTGATTCTTCAGTTAAATTTTGTCTACCGTGGTTACCTTCTCGAAGTAAATCTGACCGAGATAAAATGCACATTGCTCATCACCTTCATCTAACCATTTTTTCAGTAATGTTTCCAAATTTTCACTAACTAAGTGACGATTGAAAATTCTTACGGACTCAAGCGTGCCATTTGAAATCGCATTTTCTACTGTTTTAGAAGACAAAAATTTTATATCTTCATGCCGAATACTTTTAGGAAGTCCATTTAGTAACTCCATCAATTAAAATATTGGGTGATTGCAATAGAAACAGAAGTTGAAAATTGATGCATTAAAAGCAACTAGCGGTCAGTTGTAAGCATAAGGGGTTGGTTGGCCTGTGGTAATGATGTATTTGTACGAACCGATGATTATTTTGTACATGATTCAGAAATTGAATTAATTTCCTGATTCAACACTCTGTTTTGCTCACTGGGTTCTCATGAAATCGATACTGGTTTAAACTGTACTTGTAACTGTCATGAGTTCCATTATTTTCGTCGATCATACAAGCATTCGGGTAGGGCCTGTTATTAAATAGCTTTTGGCAGTAAATAAATCCCAAAGAAATGTTCCACATGTCTTCGACACTTATGCTGGCCTCATTGGTTTTACTGGTCACATTCAAGCTGGGGGCGCTCAGTCACGCATCCACACCCGTTCTAGAGTGGGTACATTGTGCGACATACACCTTACAGCTGTTAGCCAGCTTAGAAAAAAGGCTTCTCAACACATCGGTAGCTTTTCAAATATATCTTCAAACCCCTACATTTCTGATAGTTTATTTTACTGGGTCTGGATACTTCAATTTTAACGGTGTTATGAGTAGAAGCGTTATGAAACTCCGAATATTTGTGACATCTTTAGCGCAACTGCATGAATATCGTACCAAAATTTTCACTGTCCTCTCCCATTTATTAACCTTACTTCGGTAATATCTTGTCTGCATATATATGCTTCAAATTGATCATGATTGTAAAAATGGCATAACCTGATTTGTATTATTATTCATATAGTTATTCATTTTATGCGTGCAAATTCACCTTCTGTGTTCTATTACGTACCAACCTAAGTGAGTAACTTATTTCAGTAAGTCATATAACAATTAAAAGCTGTCAAGGCATTTTTAACATACAGTTATATGGAAAGAAATTACCGTTTGTATCAGGATCCACAACGTGAATCAGAACAAACTTTTCTGATGTTCAGAATTACATTTAATCGACAGACCCACAGAGGAAGTTTAAATCATTGATATTTAGAGCTGGAACAATAGATTTTCCAACCTTCCTCACCGAAATTTTCGTGTCTAAACGAAAGTCTTCCCATGATAATTTATAACTCCCATGAACTCTAAACTTTTCATGCTCGAACGCACAGTCTAACCCCCCTAACAATTCTGTTGAAGCATCTTTTGTTGCTGGATGTTTGGCACTTTTATACTGCAGCAGAAATGTGTCAACTTCCTTCCTCAGCTCATCGAATGTTGCAGAAGCAGTCAAATCATTAGTGGTTTGTAACGTCCTGAAGATATTTTGTATCTGACAATTAGAACAAGCGTGTTTGGGGGCAGTAAAAAATTATTTGGACTCTATACTATTCACTCAGGCAGTAACTGCACCTGAGATAAAATAATAGCCATCATCAGTCACTGTTACCACGTGAATCCCTTTGAGAATGCACACCTTTCTCAGTGCTTATATAGTGACGATAGAGTTCGATGAAGTTGTGAAAAACCTTCAGGCTACTTGAATATGAATCACTGACGATACGTTCATAGTTTGTCCTGTGAAATGAATCAAAGTAGCTGTATGGATTCACCCTCAGATCTAAAATGATACTGAGCATGATGTTCCCTTTGAAGAAGGATATTTCGGCTTGCAAAATACTTATTCGTTGTCTGCCACGTGGCACACATCTGCATTTATTTACGATTTTCGGTTTTCAACTCTCAACTGTTCATTGTGAAAATCCACAAAATGATTTACGTATTGAAGAGAGGATAACAGCATGATAGTTCAAACACAAAATATTATCAAGAGAAGTCGACAATCCAATTGGCTTCGCGAAAGCGACAGAAGATGTTCGAGTCAAATTATCCTTCCAACCTTTTTGTATAGGAACAAGTATACATCCGAAATAATGACGCGGTTCTCTAATGAGATCTCTATAGCTCCCTTATAAAGGTTGCATTAATAAACATTCCGTATTATCAGCATGTTCATTTTTCGTAACGTACGAGACACGTCATTTACACGCTGAGTTTGTCTAATGCTTCTGTGCTGAATAGTAGCGCTCAAAGTAATACCACTTAGTTGAACCGTAGCAGCAGAAAAAAATGTTAGGGTTCTTTCAGGATAATTAATGAACTTTTTGGTTTTGTGATCTGTACCAATATCACATTTCTTCCCAAATAAATATCAATGAAGTTGGGCTGAAGCCGTCACCATCAATTAACCATCCAAGACATTTGAAACTAGATACAAACAATAAACAGTTATTTTAATTTACGGGGATATTTTTTGTCAAGCAGATTACAAATTAAGTCTCTGATGGCGAATTAATTTTTCAGGACCATCAATACAATTGCCATGTCGATAAACTTCAATCTCTGAATAAACTACTCATCACTTATTGGAATATGGCTACCTAACAGGTAGTTGCATTTAAATAAACCGAAAAAAGTGTTAAGCGTTGTCGAAATGGACGAGAATAGAGCAAAGGGGATTTAAAGATAAATGCAATACATATAAAAAAGAAAAACGAGTGAAGCACAGTGTTAGGACTGCGACGTGTAAAATTTGAAGTGACAGAGTTTATTAAGTGGCAAATATCAGTGTTTTGTGACGTGGGCACTATGTGTCAGTCGGCTATTTATTCACAGGATTTGGTGTCAGATGGCCTATCGTCAAGTAGGGCTCGGTTAAAATGAGTCACATTGGGAATGCAGAAAACTCCAAATTGGTCCATGAAGCAGCTTACGATAGATATAAATTGGGTAAGCATTTGATTAGACCGCATGTTTGCTGATGACCTATTTCAAAGGCCCGAATAGCTAGTGTCAAGTAAATGTGACTTTAATTTGCTCAGTGTTCTCGATATCTTCAGCACAAAATCTTAATTCTGAGGGTTAGAATGATTGTTTTTGCAAATTTCGAGATATCACAGTTTACTGTATTACCATTTTAGAATTATAGTCTACTATGATATTAGAACTGCTCTAATAATAGACCTAATTCTAAAACTGTAGATTTGTCATGATATAACTGCTTAATCTATAAGATCTTACCTGGAAGTCACATCATCGTCTACACGAACTCACTGCATCGTAACAATTACCAATACATGATGGAGAACAAGCTTAGGCTAGAGAAAGAACAATATATTGAATATGAAAAAAAGGCATAAGGTAACATTCCACAGGGACCACGCCTGCATGGACAAGCCATGCCATCCGATCAACTCCAATTACTTCAATTCCTTGTTCCCGCCTTCCCCATCGTTGGGTATTTCTCCACGTTAAATATTGAATATCTATTTTCCGATTCGTCTCGTGTTCAGCTTTGAAGATTGTGTGGTTATGGTTCAGTGCCACTACACCATTATACAGAATTTCAAAAAGTAAGGTAAGCTTAAGTGTAATTCGTCTACACTACGGTGGATCCAGTTGCCGCGCTTCACTTTTACCTTTATGAGATAGGTCTGGCGAGAGAAGTCTTGTAAAATAGCTCTATACTTTCCCAATTTTCTGATGGACTGGTAAACACATGCAACTGAATACGATTGAGCAGTATTCTAGTAAGAGCCGAACACATACCTTATAGAGGTTTATTTCGAATTGTTTTGAATGGAATTTACATTCGATAGGCCCAACGTGTCTACAAGCTTTTAAAATTAGGAATGTAACTTTTTCGCTAAAACAGACTTTTGGAATATTTCACTACAGAATCGAAAATGCTACCTAGTTGTTTAAATCCCAACTTGTTCAGCTACAAATTCATCTGCGTGTTCGACGTGTTCAAGTACATACACCTAGACTTTTCGGTATTAAGAGAGCGAAACTATAGTGTTAATACTTCACAACCGTTTTCGTTATGAAAAAGACATAATAGGTCCAGATGAAATGCTACTATAATTGTGTCGTTACCGCGAAAGCCATATTAGATTCGATTTCTTTTTGGTATTCCTTGGTTCTAATTATCGCTGTTACATATTTATAAATGTTACTAGACCAACTACAGTAACCTCTTTTTTGAAGTCCATATTATACCCACCATGTTCGTAACTGTAGGTTCACAGGTCGTCTCAACATTTAAATTATTTCTCGAACAAGCTTCACAGTCCTTATTGCTATAAGCACACGGGTTTATGAATTGTACTACCATATTAAGTGCCTAGAAAGACGTTTAACGTAGTTCAGATAATAAAATTACCTCGTTACGATATCGTACTGCATTGGTATAATAACTTAACTGTCAGGTAATTGCTAGTCAAACAAGCATTTGAAATTAAAACTCTGCAGTTTACTACCAAAGTTAACGCTGAGTGAACAAATATTTCTAGACCAAAACTTGTAATACGATCAGGCGGCTTGGATCGGTATGTACTACGAACTTCCGATATTTCCGAATCACACAAAAATACAATACTCATTTATCACTAGCTAGTCCTCAATCAACATTTTAACTGGTCGTTAATAATGGTTTTTGAATATCGTCCTAAAGCACTGTTGTGACTTGAAAACTACGTAATATCATTGGTAAAATGCATTAAACCATTGACAAATTGACTTATAATTACCATTAAATAATTTTTCTTCCCAGTGGTTATGTTTATTTATTTTAAGCTGTACATAATATAACTCAGAAAATTCACACTCAACATTTAACACGGAGAGAAATTCGAAGATGTTGAACGCGGGAACTATTAATTGAAATGGTAAGACTCGGTCACGCAGATGCAGACAATGTAACATGTGTTCTTAATAAATGTTAAACACATTTCTGATCGTCGTGAAAGGACGAGTCAGCATGGACAATAATGTGGTTTCCAAGTAAAATCTTAGAAATTAGGTAATCAAATCATGAAAAATCTACAATTTTGGGATTGGATCTGTTATTACGGTAATCTTAATATGGCATTAGACCATAATTCTACAAAACCATGCAACGCGATTGTTTTGGAACCCATCTAGATGTTACTGTATCGTATAACCGATATTTAAAATGGGACTTGTGTGG